CCAGAATCCCTGGGCCCCCCCCCATGTCCCCCATATCCCCCATGTCCCCCCAAATCCCCCATGTCCCCCCTATCCCCCATGTTCCCCCTGTGTCCCTGTCCCCCACATCCCTGCTGATGTCCGGCACAGCCGCAGTCTCTGGCGCAGTTCGGGCGCCCCAAAATCGACGGAGAGCTGAAGGTCTCCAGCACCGAGCGGCGCTCCAAGGTGGACAGGTGGGACAGGGCGAGGGGCACCATGGGGACACCATGGGGACACCACGGGGACACCACGGGGACGCCATGGGGACACCATGGAGACACCCACGGGGACATGGGAACACCACAGGAAGCTGGGGACACCCATGGGAAAGCTGCAAGGACACCCACGGGGACATGGGAACACCTCAAGAACATGGGGACACCCATGGGGACATGGGAACGCCACAAGAACCTGGGGACACCCATGGGGACACCAGAAGGACACCATGTGGACACCACAGGGAGACCCATGGAGACATGGAAACACCACGGGAACATCATGGGAACATCACGTGGACATGAGGAAAACAGAGGGATGTGAGGACACCCCTGGGGACATAGAGACACCACAGGGACATGGGAAAACAGGGACTCCCTTCGGGACACCCACAGGGACATAAGAATGGGAACACAGGGACACCTTGGGGATACCCTTGTCACAGAGCAGGGGCCAGAGCAGGGGCCACTCCAGGGCAGTGGTGGGGACACCCTAAGGCGCATGGTGGCCTTGGGAACCCAGTGCCGCCCCCATCCCTGTCCCCAGGTACGGCTTCCTCCTGGACAAGGCTCTGATCATCTGCAAGCGCCGTGGAGACTCCTACGAGGCCAAAGACGTTGTGGACCTGCAGTGCCACCAACTACGGGATGGTGGCCTCGGCCCCCGCGATGGCAAGAAGGTACCCTGGAACCCAGGCATCCAGTTCCCAGTGACACCTGGACCCAGATGTCCAGGTCCCTGGTGGTCCCAAGCATCCAGGTCTGGTGGGCCCAAGTGTCCACGTCCTTGGTGGATCTATTGAAGCCTGGTGGACTGACGTGTCCGGTTCCCAGTGGCCCCAGGTGTCCTCTTCCCAATGAACCCAGGTGTCCAGGCCCCCAGGGAACCCAGGTGTCCAGGTCTGGTGGATCCCAGCATCCTGGTCCCTGGTGGAGACAAGTGTCCAGGTCTGGTGGACCCCAGCATCCAGGTCCTTGGTGTACCCAAGTGTCTAGGTCCTTAGTGGACACACTGGAGATTGGTAGCCCCAGGAATGTGGTCCTCAGTGGCCCCAGGCATCTGGGTGGCAGTGAACCCAGGTGTCAGGACACCGCTGAGGCCCGCCCATGCCCGCAGTGGACCCACACCTTCCTCCTCATCGACATGGCTGGGCTGCAGGGCTACGAGCTCTTCTTCAAGACCCGTGAGCTGAAGAAGAAGTGGCTGGAGCAGTTTGAGATGGCCCTGTAGGTGCTCCTGCACCCAGGGGTGGGGGGACCTGCCCCGCTGGGGGCTGGGTGGCCCCGGGGGGGCCAATTTGCCCCCACCAGACCCAGGTCCCCCCATCTCTTGCCAGCTCCAACATCTTCCCCGAGCACGCCCTGGCCGATGGGCATGACTTCCAGATGTACTCCTTTGAGGACACCACGTCCTGCAGGGCCTGCCAGATGTTGCTAAGGTAGGACCCCAAAATTATGTCTCCCATTCTCCTGGGGAGACAATGGAGGACAGGGTGACCTGGGAGATGGGGTTGGGGGGAATCTGGGAGAAGGGGAGGCCCCAGGTAGGTGATTGGAGGTGGGATGAGGTCTTGATGGGTCAAGCCCTTGGGTGAGTTGAGGCCAAGGTGGGTCAAGGCTTGGGTGGGTCAAGGTCTGAGCTGGTAAAGGATTGGGTAGGTTGAGTCCTGGGTAAGCCAAGGCCAACGTGGGTCAAGTCTTGGGTGGGTTGAGGGGCCTGGGTGGGTCAAGGAGCTGATGGGTCAAGCCCTGAGTGGCCCCAAGGCCAAGGTGGGTCAAGGATTGGGTGGAGGCTAAGGTGGGTCAAGGGTTGGGTGGAGGACAACAAGGTGGGTCAAGACCAGGGTGGGTCAAGGCCTGGGTGGGTTGAGTCCTGGGTGGGCCAAGGCCAAGGTGGGTCAGTCCCTGGGTGGGTTAAAATCCAGGTGGGTTGATCCTGGTGGGGAAGAAGAACCTGGTGGTTCAAGGATTGGGTTGGCCCAAGGCCCAGGTGCGTCTAGGGTTGGGTCAGTCCTGAGTGGGCTGAGGTGGGTGGGTGCAGGTGGGCTAATGGGTGTCCCCTCATGCTGACCATGACCCTGTGTCCCCCCCGTGTCCTCGTGTCCCCCCAGGGGCACGTTCTACCAGGGGTACCGCTGCAGCCGGTGCCGGGCCCCCGCGCACAAGGAGTGTCTGGGACGGCTGGGGACCTGCGGCAGGGGCGGCGCTGGTGAGAGGCATCATGGGATAGCAGGGCATCGTGGGATGGGGAGTGGAGCATCATGGCGTTGGGGAGCGGGGCACTGTGGGATGGGGGGAGTGGGGCATTGTGGGATACGAAATGACCAACATGGAGCGGGGCATTGTGGGGTAGGGATGGCCAGGTGGAACAAGGTTTTAAGGGATAGCCCAGGCCCAGGTGGAGCTGGGCATTGTGGGATACCCTAACGAGGGCCACCCACCCCCACAGGAGCCTAATTAGCACCAAGTGTTAATCGGGGAGGGGTTAAATACCCCCAACTAACGAGCATTTTTTCTTCCACCCCACAGATTCAGGTTCTGGCACGAGGAAGGTAACAGCAGAATGGGTCAAAACGGGCTGAAATGCCCCGAATTTGGGAGTGGGGAGGTCCTCGGGGGCTTCATGTCCCTCCCCAACCCCCTGGGACTAATTGGGGTCTCGTTGCTCCCCAGAACAAGTCGCAGCGGCCGGGCCCCGAGAAGAAGCGGGGAGACCTGGGTGAGGACAATGTGGGGAGCACGGAAGCCTGGGTCCATGTGTTTGGGGAGCAGAGGGGGTGTCCACGCCCCGGATGCCTGGGTTCATCCCCCTCATCGTGTGTCCTCCTTCCAGGGTTGCCCAAGATGGAGGCGAGCCAGCCCTACAGCGGCATCCCACCGCCGCCAGGGGCCCTGGGTCCTGCCCTACGTCTCAACCCCGGGGATGTCGTGGAGGTCACCGTGGCCGAGGCTGAGCAGCTCTGGTGGCAGGTGAGGACGGGACCCCTGTGGTGGGGACAGGACTCTCATGGTCATGCTGGGATGGGCCTCCACTATGGGGGCAGACCACCATGGCCATGCTGGGATGGACCTCTACTATGAAGGCAGACTGGCCATACTGGGATGGAGCTCCACTATGGGGACAGAGCACTATGGTCATGCTGGAATAGACCCTCAGGATGGGCTGGGACAGACCCCTAAGTCCATGCTGGACCCCCATGGTGAGCTCAGCCCGCAATGGCCATGGTGGGCTAGACCATGATGAGTTGGGGAGCCATGGTTGGGTTGGACCCCCATGATGGGGCTGGTCCAGATCTCCACAGCCAGGTTGGACCCCCACTATGGGGCTGGACTTTTGTGGCCATGCTGAGCCCCCGCAATGGAGATGGGCTGGACCCCCATGGCCAGGCTGGACCCCTGTAGTCCTTCCAGCCTCCTGGGGAGCAGGGGGACCCCCATGGCCACCCTGGCCCCATGGTCCTTCATCCCCAGGGCAGGAACGTCGCCAACGGTGACCTGGGCTGGTTCCCTTGCGCTGCTGTGAGACCCTTCATCTGCGTGAGTATGGGGACCCCAAAATGTCCCTAGGAACCCCTGCACCCACCCTGATGTCTCCAAGATGTTCAGGGTGTCCTGGGATGTGGGGAGGTCCCTGTGGGATATAGGGGGGTCTCAGAGGAATCACCTTCTGTCCCCCCTTGATCCCCATCTCTGCTTCTCTCCCCCAGGTGCCACTGCCGGATCTCTCTGTCTACCCCTGGTCAGTGTTGGGGCACCCCAAATCCTCCTCTGGGCTCCAATAGCCCTTGGAGACCCCCCCAATCCTCCCCCAGGACCCCATGAATCATCTCCTGGGGCCCCTATCCTTCCTGGGGTCACCCCAAATCTCCCCCTGGGGTCATCCCATCCTTGCTGCAGTTACCCTATATCCTCCAGGACCTCCCAGATCCCTTCCTGGGGTCCTTCATCCTTCCTGCAGTCACCCCAGAGCTTCCAGGCCCCCCCAAATCTGTCCTGTGGTCCCCCATCCTTCCTGGTTCACCCCAAATCCTCCTCCAGAGTCACCCCATAGCTTCCATGGCCCCCCAAATCCTCCCCAAGCCCTTCATCCTTCCTGGGGCTCCTCAGATCCTTCCCCAGGGCCCTACAAAACCTTTCTCAGAGTCCCCCATCCCTCCTGGGATCACCCCCAAATCCTCCCCTGAGCTCTTCATCCTTCCTGCCCCCCCCCCCAAATCCTTCCTCAGGGTCACCCCCTTGGCATCAGGGCCCCCAAAATCTTCTTCAGCACCACTCATCCTTCCTGTGATCACCCCATAGCTTCCAGGGTCCCCCCAAATCCTTCCCCAGGGGCTCCTAACCCTCCTGGTGTCCCCCTCCAAACCCTTCATCTGGTTTGCCCCATAGCCCCCAGCTCCCCCTCCCTCCCCACAGCCCCTCGAATTGCCCCGAGGAGGGGTGGGGATGCCAGTTTGGGGGCTCAGGACCCCCACCCCATAATCCCCAGGTACGCCGGTCCCATGGAGCGGGGGGAAGCCGAGCAGCTCCTGATGCCCCGTTCCGACAGCGCCTTCCTGGTACGACAGCGGGTGAAGGACACCGGTGAATTCGCCATCAGCATCAAGTAGGGACCAGGGACACCTTCGGGGGGTGGGGGGGGACAATGGGAGGGCTGCGGGTCCTCAGCTCAGCCCACCATGTCCCCCTGCTCAGGTACCACGGGGAGGTGAAGCACATCAAGGTGATGACGGCAGAAGGGCTTTACCGCGTCACCGAGAAGAAAGCGTTCAAGGGGCTGGTGGTGAGCACTGGAGCCCCCTTCTCTGCCCCCGTCCCCAACCCTGATCTCTGGGTCCCCCCCGAATTGGGGCTGAGGTCTGGTGGTGACCCTGGGGCTTGGCCACGTTGTCCACAGGAGCTGGTGGAGTTCTACCAGCGCAACTCGCTCAAGGATTGCTTCAAAGCCCTTGACACGGCACTTGTGGTGCCCTTCAAGGAGCCTGAGAGCCGGGCTGGTCCCCGGCCACCCGGTAGGACCTGGGAGATGGGGTGGGGTGGAGGTGGTGGCTGTGGGATGGAGGTGGTGGGGTCCCTCATTGTGGGTGAGGGTGGGATGGAGGGGATGGGGTCCCCCATCCGGGTGGGGGGGGTGGGGGTGGATGCAGTGGTGGG